ATTCCATCTTCCTGAGCTCACCTCCCTTGGAGCAAGGCACATTCCACCAGGGGCCAGCCCAGTCCCAGCTGGGCCCCCGTCCCCAGGCTGCCTCTTGTGGACTCAGTCACCACACTCCCAGGCTGGAGGCTGATGGCCCTTCCCCCCTGCACTTTACTGTCATGTACAGCAAGGCCTTGACAATCAGCAGTCAGGCTTCATATCATCATTGGGGCTCAGAGACTCCATCCCTGGGTGGGCTGGAGGTCAATTGCTGGGCAATAGCAGAGGTCACCTCTAAGCACAACTTGGACTTCTTTCACCCCAGGGGGACATTTTCAGTGCACTTACAGTGTATGCAGATGTCCTGGGCTCCCCCAGTTCTGGGCACCTACCTGCTGGGTCTTTCCTTCCCACAGGTCCTGTGCACTCCCCTCCCCCCACTTTGCTCCTCCTCCCTACAGTCCTGCAGGGGTCAGGGCCTCAGCCACCAGCTCCTGCTGCTACCTCTTGCTGGCAGCTGCCAGGAAGCTTCTCCTTCTCCAGCCAGGAGCTCTGTCCAAAGTTAAGGATCAGGCACCAGTGGCCTGGCGTTTCCACCTGTAGCCCACCTGAGCTCCCACTCCAGTGTCCAGTAGCATCTTAATTATCCCCTCCAACACCACTCCCCTCTGCCCCATTCCTGGCCCTAGTGAGGAATACCCGCAACCCAAACACAACCTATTATCCTTCCCAAACAGCCTGCCCTGCACCAACCCCTGGATCCCTGCTGACTTTAGACCACCTCAGGGCCCTTGCCTATTCTCCGCTCTGTCCCAGGGAGGCCTGAAACCCACTCACAGCCCATCCTCATCAAGCTCTTTCTAGGGACCTCCAGTATAAGTATAAGGAGGAAGTCTCAGTTCTCAGCCCAGCATTCAAGGTCTTACCACCAGTTACTCCAACCACAGCCACATAGAGCTCCCCCAAATATATTTTTTAGGACTTCATGAGTTTTAGTTTTGTTTTGTTTTGTTGAGGTATGGATGTGAGTATGTGTGTGTGTGCGCACGCGTGCACCAGGGATCGAACCCAGGACTTAGGCATGCATGCACTCTACCACTCTTCCTGCTTCTGGCTGAACGGCCCTCTTCCTTCTCACCACCTTGCTCACCCAGAGGATTCTTTCTTATCCTTCAGAGCCCTACTAAAAGATCCCTTCTTGGCCAGGTGTGGTGGCTCACTTCTGTAATCCCAGTTACTCAGGAAGCAGACATTAGGAGAGTCCTGGTCTAAGGCAGCCTAGGCAAAACGTTTGAGAGATCCCATGTCTAGAAACAAGCTAGCCATGGTAGTGTGCTTGTTGTCCTGGCTGTGGGAGATGTAAATGGGAAGACTGTGGTCTAAGGTTGGCCCTGGCAGGAAACTCAAGACCCTATCTGAAAAGCAACAAAAGCAGAAGGGTCAGTGGCATGGTTCAAGTGGTAGAGAGCCTGCCTAGCAAGCTCAAGACCCTGAGTTCAGCCTTTTCCTTTTAGCAATCTGCAGATGCCCTGCATAGGAAACCACTCCTGCTCTGCCTCTTCTGCACCTTCTGAATCACATTTCTCCTGGCTGTGTAGCTTGGACTTAACAATCTTAGCCCTTCTTATCTAACTCTCACTTGACTGGCTTGAGGGCATGAACCATGGTAGTTCACTTCCCTGCTGTCAGAAAGACTGGAAAGAAATGATTCAAAGCCAAAAAGACTGCCATACAGGGATTTCAATTCAAAGCTTCTGACTCCTCTCCCTCCTAACCAAAGATCCTGTGATTCCAAACCACCTGCTGGGGCAAGAACCTGATGGTTTACCTTCCCAAGCTGAGCAGACTGTGACTTCAATCCAGAAGTATCATGGCCCTAAAATGCCAATGGAAGGACTGCACCTCTCAAATCAGTCCTGTTCAGAAGGTGTCTGTGGCACCCTTGCTGTCTTCCTTACTTGCTGCCCACCATGGCAGAGAGGGACTCAGGGAAATGGAAAGCCTGCCCAGCCAGCAGTGGTGCCCAGCCTCTCCAGCACATGGCCACGTCTGTCCACCATGGCCTGGCTCTGTCTGAGCTTGGACCCCTGTGGAAGACCCATGAGCACGGATGTCCTGCACTGACTCCCCCTCCTCTGCCAGGTGAGACAGCCTGTGCAGCCCCTTGGGGCCTGCAGAAGGCGCGTGTGGACCTCCTCCTGGCTTCCCTGCCCCCTTTTCTCTCTCACCAGCTGCTGACAAGCCCCAGAGCCTGTGGTCAGGTTGAGTCTTGTCTCCTTGCAACAGGAGTGAGGCAGCAAGTGATAAACACAGTTGTGATCCTTTCCAAGACACTCCGCCAGGAGCTGTGGTGGGCCAGCCCCTTTTCTCCCTAACTTCACACGCTCAGCACCCATGGCAGCCTGGTTTGTGTGTATAGGTGTGTGTGTGTGGGTAATTCTGGAGGGCACCCTGAAGGATCCTGGGGGGCTCAGTTGACAGATGGGGAAACTGAGGTCTATCTATCTATACCAAGAGGGTATAGAGCTTACATCAGCCAGTGGCTAACGTGGCTCCTGCCCCAGCATATCTACATCTGGACCCTTGGGATGCCCTGCAGCAGGATCAGGTCCTCTGGGGGAGGCTGGGAGCCACTTCCTCTTATGCTCTGGCTCAGCTGTGTGGCCTTGCTCTGGTTGCCCGAGAGCTGGTTGGTTTTTCCTCTGGACTTCCATTTCTACGAAAAGATCAGACTGCTGTTGCTCCAGCCTTTCCCCATGGACCCTGAGGAGTCCCCAGTCCACCTCTTGCTCAGAAAATTGTATTGGCTCTGGTTGAACTACTTTTCCAGGAAGCCACCCCAAGGGTCCTCCCTAGGCACAGCGGGGCTGGGTAGGTAAGGGAGTATCCATCCCTTCTGCTTAGCAAGATCATGTCAGGTCTGACCTGCTGCCACCCCATCTTGTCCTGGTCCTCTCTCTGGCTCCTCAGTCTGTCTCTGTGCCTTCTGCCCTTTCAGAAGAAGTTCTTCCCCAGAATAATCAGTGATCTCTGCACAAGATACTCATCTTCCACCCCATATACATTTATAGAGTGCCCACTGTATGCAAAGTGTAGGAACAGCTGTGCCTGAGACACCTGGAGTTGCTGTCCTTATCAAGCTTACTGTTTGGGGGTGAGAGAAAGCCATGGAAAAAGGCACCACCTGAGAACCAAGAAGGAAGCTTCTCTGAGTGAGATATCATGGCTAAAACTTGGGCAATGAGGAGAAGACAGCTGCAGGAAGGTCTGGGCAGAATGCAGAGTTCACTCCTTGGCCAGAGCCTATGCAGAGCCCCCAAGCCTGGGAGGGGTGGGAGGTGGTGGAGCTCTATGGAGAAGCATTTGTGAGGCAGAGGAACAGAGAGGGGTGGCTTGGTACCTGCTGGGGTAGATAACAGGACATGTGGAGCCACCACCAGGAACCATAAGCACATCTGCAGGAGGTTGGGGGAAGCAGCAGTTGGAAGGAACCTGTGCAGAGCCATGGTGAACCAGGAGCACAGGCCCCATCCACGGGGTCCTGATCAGGCACCAGCCCATTTTAGCCATGTGAGCATTTGGGCCCAGGTGGCCTGGCTCCCCACTAAGGTGTTCATGCTCCCCAACACCTTGCTCACAGGACAGACTCCCATATGACACTCCCCCTGCCGTGTGCAACTTGGAATCATACCTGCCCTGGACTGAGCACTAAACGTGCTGCAGAATGAGTGCTTCCTGCCTTAGCCCCCTACCCTCCTCACCTTCTGCCCCGAGAATGCAGGAATGAATGGCAGAGCCCAGTCTGAGCCCAGGCTGACCACCCAGCCTTGCTCTGACCACCACACAACAGCCACAGTCACATGTGCAGCATGCAAAGAATGTGAATGCTGCAGCCAGATGCACTGGGTTTGAATTCTGACTTCGCTTATTAACTGGGAGACCCATGGCACATGACTTAGCTCTCTGTGCTTCACTTTCCTCACCTGTAAAAGGAGGAGGGGATGATACCACCTCCTGGGGATGTTGTGACATCCAGAACAAAACTCTGAACACTCATTGTTGTCACCCAAGGTCAAATGGGCAGCTGGTGGCCCATATTTGGCTAGTATATGCATGTGTTTGGGCCCCCAAGATAATCTTTGATTTTTGCTTTTCCTATTTTTAAAGACCCGTTTAAATACAAGGGATTGCACATGAAAATCGGAGACTAAACTCAGTCTAGCCACCCTAGGTCTCTACCTGGGGCACTGCCTGTGACAGGCAGCACTGACCTGGGTGCCCCAGGGTACCTGCCAAGCTGCCAGTGCTTGAGTACTCCCTGAGATGGATAGTCATCCTATGATTGCTACCATGGTCTTTTTCTTGATGACTCCATAGCTGGTCCTCACACTGCTGTTTCTCAGTGGCTGTGGCTGGCCCTCACACTGGCATGGTCTGTCTCCCTGTGATGCCTCTACCCTACAGACCCTTGCCCTGTGCTCTGCTTCTACTGCCCTTGAACAGCCAGCCCCACGGAAACATGCTAGGATATCACTGGCTCTCTTCTAAGCTGGGTGCAGAACCCAGAGGACCCGAAGGGGCAATAAAGAGGGAACAGTCTCTTTCTTTATTTTGAGCTCCAGATCTTGGTCAAGGTGACCAAGAATAGGTTAGCTGCTCTGGCAGCTGATCCATGTGGATGACTCCTATTGAACTCACTCGAGCCCTTCCTCCCAGTCAGAGTTCTGGACAGTGACTTTGTACTCCAGGATAAGAGTTCACAGATGTCCCTCTTACCATCTTGCTGAGTGACATCCAAATCATTTTCATGTAGATTCAGTTTTTCAACTTTTCTAGTAACCGACAAGCTTCATGCCAAACACACATCCTGACCAGCAGCAAGTCAATGCTAGTTGAGCAGAATGCAGCTAAGAGCAGAGCCCTGTGTCTCATCACCAGATACCCACACCAGCCATCCCTAACAAACTGTTTTACAGCATCTGTGCAAGAGCCGCCCGGCTCCCTCCCTGGCTGCCTACCTTTCGGCCTGCCTCGTTATTGTGTAAGTTCATGAGAGTTCGGGCATTCTGCTTGATCTCTCGGGCATCCACAAAGACTTTGGCGAAGCCGATGCCGTAGCGGATGTCGGCAGAGCAGCCACCCCACTTCCAGCCCTCGTCCCGGTGGTACTGGCCTTGCTTCTCCTTGTCGCAGCCGCAGTCGCTCAGGTTGCCCTGGGTACAGGCAGCTGTGATGGCGTGGGCCACGCCGGCAGCAATGATGGCATAGGTGAAGGCAGCCTCCCGGCTCCCTGAGAGGGCAGAAGAGTGGAGAGAGCTTTGTAGAGCTGACTGTGGGGACCCTTGGCCCAGGGCATCTCCAGAGAAGGCTGGGCCTTGCTCAGGAGACAGTGCAGTGACCCCAACAGGCCAACCAAGTGTCTACTTCTTGAATGCCCAGGAAGCCCCATCTTGGGGTGGTGATCGTGCCCCAGCCATTTGGTCCCCATCCCTTGGGAGTCAGCTGAGCAAGAGGGAGTCAGGCACAGGTGAATGGTTGCCCAGGTTCAGGAAAGCCAAATTAGGGGACATTCTAGCCCATTTCCACCCATTGTGCTTTCCTGGGCACATTGGCTATGGCCACGTCTCCTGCACATGTGTACAGCACTCCCCCTAAGCCATGCCTCTGTCTCCTCGGCTATAAAACAGGACATTCCAATAGCACCTTTCTCACAGCAGTGTTGGAGAGCAATGGCTCATCTGCCCAAAGCTCCTGACCTGTGCATGACTATAGCACCTGCCTGACACAGTAGCTCTTGCTCTTGTGGTCATTGTTACTATTGCTGTGTGTCACTTGTCTTAGATGTGGCCCCTCTCTAGATTGCAAGCATCCCTGGTGGAGGTGGAGGGTTTCTCAGCCACGCAACTACAGGAGAGAATCCTAGGTGGGTGTCATGTGCTGTTGCCACTTAGACTTTTAGCTTCTCTGGACCTCAGTCTCCCATCTGAAAAACGGAATCAAGAGCTGTGTCTATTGCACAGAGAGAAGATCAACTGAGACTCTCTGTGGAAACCCGGCATGTGGGATTGGCCTTAAAAGATCACTGGTGGTTGCTCTCAGAGCCTGGAGTACTGGGTCTCTAGGAAGGCACCTGGAGGAAGAAGCCCCAGCCCAGGGCAGATGCCTGGGATGGAGCTGAACAGGCAGTTAGGGGCTAGAGGAAGTGCTTCATGGGCTGGGATCTAGAATGAGGCAACCTTCTAGTGGCTTGGAGTCTCAGGTCTCACTGTCCCACGCACAGGAAGACCTTTCTCCTGCCTACCTCCTTGTCTGCCTCATGGCTGGGTCACCAGGGATGCCCTGTAAGCATCCCTGGTGGAGGTAGAGGGTTTCTGAGCCACAGAAGTGCAGGAGAGAATCCTGGGTGGATGCTATGTGCTGTTGCCACCTAGACTTTTAGTTTCTCTAAAGCTCCCTCCAGGCTGCTTAGACAGAGACAAACTGTCCCACACTAGCACTGCTAGTCCTGTCTAGACTGTGTTCCTATGGCAGGGCAGACTTTGCTCTGGAATTCATGCCTAGGGCATCCCTGTTAACACCAGGGCTGAGGATACCTGGGTTCACATCCTAGCCCTTCTCTTTCCAGAGCCTCAGTCTCCTTGTTTATGAAACATGAATAATGCTGTGCGTACCCAACAGGAGTCACTGAGAAGGGCAAGGAGAGAGAGTACCTGAAATGCTTAGTCTGGTGCCTAGCTTAACAAAAGTCCCCAAACTAGGTCCTCAGGGGAATGGAGCCTCTGTCCTTCCTCTCAACTGCACCTCAATCTCTGGAAACTGCGAAGGGCACTATTTGAGCACCTGTTGAGTCCCCAATTCTGTATTTACCATTTTCTTGGTATTATAAAACATCTGTGTGTAGCCTGTGCCAACAGGGCCAGGCACAGAGCCCCATGGGTGCCAGGAGACCCTAGCACAGGCTGCACTTCTGGCATGGCAATGAAACCTGTTGATACTTTTATTACATGAAACCAGGAATTCTATGTAAGACCTAGCAATGCCTGGCAGGGCTCACAAGGGGACAAGGGAACCAGTGAGGTCATGTGTTGTAGACAGAACGTGCAACAGAGCAGATAGGAACAGAATGTGGCCGTCCTGATGCTGTTGGGCTCCACAAAGGTGGGAGCTTTCTGGTTAAGGCCTGCAAAGCAGGACCAGGCCTTGAGCCCCACCTGAGGCAGGCCGTGGGATATAGTACTTGATGAACAGCTTCCCAGGGAGAGAGCACAGAGGAAGAATCTGTACCCCATCCAGCCCCGGCAAGATAGACAAGGAGCAGGCAGGTGTGACCCAGTAACTGGGCTCAGCAGGAGGTGGGAGGCTGAGGGACAGGATCCATGACTTCCTGGGAACTGGTGGCCACATTCCTGCTTTGCACAGATTGAAAGCTCACATTCATCCCCTGTAACACAAGTGGGAAGATGGGCTCCAGGCCACTGATTCCCCAGGACCCCAGAGGAACAAGGACAAAGCACCCCAGCCCCCACTCCAGGTACCAGTTCATATTCTGGGGTTTCAAACACACAGAAAAAGCCCTCTGAGATACCCACCTCCAAGGGTAGAGCCTCAAGGACATTGAAGAAAAGAGCAATCAGAAGGGGAGAGTGGGAGAAGTCTCTGTTGCACTGCTTTCTAGCTGAGTGACTTTGGGTGAGTCAGCTGCCTCTGTGTTCTCGTTCCCCCATTGTAAAATGGGGTGATAGCAGTACCCACTTTATTATGGTGGTTTTAAGGGGCAGAAAAATTGCCAATGGCAGAGCAGTTAGCAAGAGCACGGCACCAGGAATTGTCCCCAAATCTTAGTTTACACCATGTTTATTGATGTGGGCAGTTGTGGCTTCTCATAGGAGGCTGAAGGTCAAGCATGGGGACTGAAGACAGGCCAGGAGAAAGTTCTGGCTTCAGGACACCCACTGATGGGTGGCAGAGCTGAGCTGCACACCTGCCTCCTGGACACCTCCTATAGACAGCTGTCCCCAGGTATGAAATGACCCCAACGTGCAGTGAGTGGGTGCTGCTGGTTGACTCCAGCAGCTGGCAGGAGACAGTGTTGAGAGTGGAGTATACAAATGGAGGCGGGGACCCAGAGCTTGGCCCCAGCTCCTCCTTGGGGTTCTAGAGCAGGGTGGGCACTGCCAGCACAAAGCTCCTTGTGGTGATTTTGTGTCCCCATGCCAGCCTACACCCAGCGGGTGTCCACCCCCTGGGTTTCTCTGAGTGCCCTGAGCAGCACGTGGCAATACGGCTGATGAGTAACAGCCAGTTGAGAGGACCATGGTGTCTGCCCTGCCTTCCAGACTCATCACATACCCTGAGGATGGGGAAGGGCAGCAGCACCTGGGATGCACTTAACTACCCTTGTTCAAGGTGGAACACTGATCAGAGCAGAGTCTCATCCTGGACTGGCTTTGCTCTCCTGGCAACACTTACCCTCGGCAGCACTCAGTGCTTTGAGGGCTGAGAAGCAAAGATGGACAGTCACTCTTGGTGTCAGAGCTCCAGGGACCCTGGTACCAGCTGGTATCCCTGTACAACCCTTTGGGATGCTGAAGCCTGTCTGTTTACTCCTGACAGTGGCCCAGCCCTCCAATGGACTGAGACCCTCCAGTCCCCCTGCTCCACTGAGCACTGAGGCGCTGCCCTGGGCATCCTCTGGCTGGGAACTTACACCAGGCCTGTTCATCTCTTGAGATTCTGATGCCTTCTCTGAAATGGCAGTGACAGCATCATGCACCATGGGTGACTGAAGGGACGAAAATACAGATCAGGGAAAGGTACTAGCACAGCACCTGGCGTGTAGCAAGTGTTCAGTAATGCCAGTGTTGTGGCCGTTACTGTTGTCATTACTGTCACTATTAAGGAGTCCCGTTTGAGCCTTGTTGCATCCATGATGTCCTAAAGGACCTGGCAGCCCCAGTCAGAGGCAAGTGTGAAGGGCTGATCCAGTGTCTGTCTGCTCAGCTAACTCCAGGTTCACAAGACCACTGGGAACAGGTCTGTCTTGCTCCATCATCCTTCATCAAGTGTGAGAGACCAATGAATGAGACCCACCTGAGGTCCCATTTCAACCGGCCAATGGCTGTGTGACCTTGGGCAAGTCACTTAACCTTCCTGAGCCTGAGTTTACTCATATGTCAGTAGTCCCAATTCATAGGCAGAGACAGATATCACCTGGCACACTGCAGATTCTTAAATGGTAGTGAGTAACAGAAGAATTGTAATGAATGAAATTATGGGCTGTTAGGAGGTGCAGAGAGAAGCTCCCCCACCTTAGTTTCCTTCAGAGTCCTCATCGCTCCCTGCCACTTTAGAACTTCTTTGTTTATTGTCTGTCCTAGTCACCCACATCCACAGCCTCTCCAAAATATCATTTTCTTGAAGACACTCAGTAAATATCTACCTAGTGAATGAATGAATGAAAGCAAGCTCCAAACAGCGGGCACCAGCCACATGGTCTTCATGATGCTTGCCACTTTCAGCACATTGGAAGAGGGTGCTCATCTGTTCTTGGAAAACAACCCCTGGAACAGCTAACATCAGCACCCCCATTGTACAGATGAGGAAGCCGAGGCTCAGGGAGGAGCCAACCAGGCAGTCATGGCACCTGTGATGAGTTGCCCCCAGCATACTTGTACCAGGCCTTGAGGTGGGAAGGGACAATTTTACAGAGGAAACAGGATTTGAGAAGAAAAGTGATTCACTGAGGTCTCCCACCTAGAAACCAGCCTGAACTGAGACTAAAGGCCCAAGTAACAGCATGTCCTTCCTCAGCCCCTCTGCCTCCCTTCCTGGCCTGTAACTGCATCTGAGCCCCACAGTGAGAGAGGGATTCTTTTGGCCAAGACAGCAACTCTTAGCAAAATGCACTGACTTCTGGCAAGAGTTGGTGTTCAGTTGTTATCAGGTAAAACCTGTCAATAAATAATTTACCAGGCTCACTTAAGTAGAATGAATTGCTAAGTTGGAAACTTAGGGTTTCCAACTTAGGGTGTGATGACAGACAGAAGGAAGGAAAGAGCCCTGGAACCTTAATATTGCACTCTTAGGGTAAGAAGTCACACTAAACTATTCACCCACATCTCCTTCACATACACAAGAAGGTTTGGGGGGGACTGAAGCTCAGAGAGATGAGGTGACTTGCCAGACTGAGCAGGATGCAAGCCCAGAGGTCACACACTGTCCCCACCCTCTCCAGAGAACTCCCTCTGACACTGACCATGCACACTGCCCCAAATTTAGCCCATCCCCCAT